ATATTGGAGGTTACTCATTTTTCTTTTTTTTAAATGAATCCTTAAAGTTTTGCGCATCAATATATCGTAATTTAATCTTTCAAAAACATTGAGAACATTCTTCAATTTGCAATTGTTTAAAAGAATTGTTAATAACAATTATAAATTTTCATTTTTTAGCAATCGCTTTATTTCATCTTTAAAGTATAGACTTTAAGCTTTAATTTAAAAAAAAATTACTTAATTATCTTTATTTGTTTCAAAGTAATAATAAAATGAAAATAAAATGACCTAAAACTTCAATACCTGATTACTTCAAAAATAAAATTTTTTTTTGAAAAATATTTTAGGGGGAAAAAGTGTACTCATATATCTACTAAAAATCATAGATAACTTGAAAATTGGAGATAAAAATTTTTCAAGTGGCCGGTTTCACTTATTTTGACCCACCTGACTTATATTTTCATAGATAAAAAATAAAAACTAAAATTTTGCTACTCTCAAAAATAATTAAGTTTTCACAAAAAACTCGTGATATTTCGTTATCAGTTCAACTTTAAAATTTTAATTTTCACTTACTTTACCAAAAAACCTTCCTGAATCCAATGAACTAATCAAAATTGCAAAAAAACTGTAAATTGTTAATAATTATTGTATATAAAGTGGCTGCGTCATTATTTGTGTTTTAATATTTTTAAAAAATAAAAGTCAGTGACGAAAGTTCAAATTTTGAAAACTTCCAGTGACAAAGTTGTTCACAAGGGTGTAAAGAAGTTTTTCAGAAAATATTATTTTTGTTAATGAAAAATTGTAGCTCTTACAACAATTTGTTTAACGGCGCTATCACACTAAGAGTCATATTTTAAGCACTTCCAGATATTGGAAGAGAGTGTTTAAAATAAATAAGAGATTTAATTGTGGTTAATAATAAAATTAACGCAAATTGTTTATATTATAATAAAATATAATTATTTATATTATAATTAACAATTAATAATAATTTTATTCTTTAATGCATTTTGTAAAATATAATTTTCTTAACAGATTTTGTTATCATAGGTAGTATTACATAAAATTTTTTTCGCTTTTAAATTTTCATAAACATGAGAAACTCAATTATATAAACATTTAATGCTTAATATTAATATATTTTTGACATTAAAACATCATCATATTAAATAAAACTTTATAGATTTTAAATATTTTATAATTTTTCCAACCTACCCTACTGAAAAAGAACGACTGTAAATACGAGCGTAAATATTACTGTGAATACGACCCTAAATACGGGCCTTAGAAGGGTAGTGTAATTGAAACAGCAAATACAGCCGTATTTATGCCCGTATTTAGGGTCGTATTTACGGTCATATATGAATACCATTTTTAAAAAAAAATATATATACCCCCACAGCACCGAAACTTTCCTAAAAATTTATTGAATATTTACTTGTAATATTCGGCATATTTAACTGAAATGTTTAGTGAAAATTGTTCTTTACATAACTTTCAATAAACATTGCAATTACATATTCCAAACATTGCAAGTAAATATTTAATAAATTTTTAGGAAAGTTTCGGTGCTATGGGGGTATATATATATATATATATAATGAAACATCATTAATTATTATTAATTTAATATATTAAATATAATATTGCAACTAAAATAAATATTATTTAAGGTAAGTATAGAAATACGATTTATTCTTATAATAAATGCATAACAAACAAATATATAAATGTCACTTTATTTTAATCACAAACACACATATACACATGGTACAATTATTTATTAAAAATTTTAATTTTTATTATTTTTATTATAAGAGAAAAAATACTTGTACGCACAATAAAAACACTTGTACATTTTTCAACAGCTAAATAAAAACCACAAATGACGCGAATCACATGTAAGCACTATTGTAAAAAAGGTTGGGTCTATAGGGATGAGTAGTTGCACGTAATTTGAAATATTAATAATAAATGTCATAATAATACTAACAGAAATAATAATAGTATATTTATGAATTAGATGTAATTAAAAAGTTTAATCACTATTTTAAAAACAAACAAATTTAGTATTAATATTTCAAGTTACGTGCAACTACCCATCCCTATATAGACCCAACCTTTTTTACAACAGTGCTTACATGTGATTCGCGTCATTTGTGGTTTTTATTTAGCTGTTGAAAAATGTACAAGTGTTTTTATTGTGCGTACAAGTATTTTTTCTCTTATAATAAAAATAATAAAAATTACAATTTTTAATAAATAATTGTACCATGTGTATATGTGTGTTTGTGATTAAAATAAAGTGACATTTATATATTTGTTTGTTATGCATTTATTATAAGAATAAATCGTATTTCAATACCCTGCCGGAAGAATGGACTGAAATTGTACTGGGGAATTAGTACTGAGAGCTCAGTGCTATTTCAGTGAAAATTTGCTGCGTTTCAGCATTGAAATTGTACTGGGAAAAATTACCTGCAAAAGGGTCGCTATAGGTGATGTTTATGGCCTGACCGTCATTAAGTTGAAGGACGAATATTTCTTTGTTAATGTTAAAAATATTTTTTATTTATATTTCAACATTATATTTGTTTTTCATCAACTCAGATTCTTTGCAAGTAATTATTATGAATGCTAAATATTCATAAGAACCTAAATTCAAAAATAATATCCGTTTTTACGTAACAATTAGAGTTTGCTAGATAGTTTATAACTTTTTTAATTAAAAATTTCTTATACTGAATTTTAGATATTTGTAATCATGCAACCCCTGCTAAAAATAAAATCAGGAATAAAGAGAAAACGTCAGAAATTTTGATGTTTTGTGACTACTTTGACGTTTCCTGAAGCTTTTGGTCTCTAACCTAATTTTTATTGCTGAAAAGTTTTGCAATTTTAAAATTTCAAGTAAAATGAATATAAATTCAAAATCTAGAAATCTCCACAATTACAAATATCTAAAATTTATTATAAAAAAACATTTTTTTAAGAATACTGTAACGTATCTCGAAAACCGTAATTGATAAATAAAAAAGGATATCATTTTTGAATTTAAGTTCTAAAGGATATATTGCATACATAATAAGAGCATATTGTTAGATGAATTCTAAGTCGATGAAAAACAAGTATAATGTTTAAATAAATATGAATATAAACAAATAAAAATATTTTCCTTTAATTTTATGACGGTCAGTTGACCTTTTTCCAGGTAAAAAAGGGTGTCGACTTTGTATAAAAAACCTGACTACTTTTGAAGCTTTCTGATTAAACATATTTACTTGCAATGTTCGGAATATGTAATTGCAATGTTTATTGAAAGTTGTGTAAAGAACAATTTTCACTAAACATTTCAGTTAAATATGCCGAATATTACAAGTAAATATTCAATAAATTTTTAGGAAAGTTTCGGTGCTGTGGGGGTATATATATATTTTTTTTTAAAAATGGTATTCATATATGACCGTAAATACGGGCATAAATACGGCTGTATTTGCTGTTTCAATTACACTACCCTTCTAAGGCTCGTATTTAGGGTCATATTCACAGTCATATTTACGCTCGTATTTACAGTCGTTCTTTTTCAGTAGGGAACATATTAGTCATTTTCTTAAAATACATTATAGACGAATTTACAACATTTTCAATACATTTAGACGTTTTAAACATCTTTTTTCGACTTTACCCCTACTTCTTGTAAGTAATTTTTAAAGTACTCATGAGCCTGAGGTGTTAAATAATGCATTAACGACTGTAAATCTTTAACTTTTTCTGTAGATATTCCTACTTTTTTAGAAAGTTGTGCGACATTTTCTAATTCATCAAAACTCAAAGAATTTTGAATGTAATGTGTGATTGATTCACTGGTATAGTTTTTAAAAATACTAATTTTACCGTTTGGATAGTATTCGATTTTAACAGCTTTACTAATTAAAAGATCTTTAGGAACTTTATATTTATTTTTAATTTCTGTCTCGAAATCTTTTATTTTTAAATTGTTTTGCTCTACCACGATGAACGGATTGTTTTTGGAATTTTTTATTAATTCTACATATTCCTTTTCTGTCTCAATTGTCTCGGTCATTTTTTTTTTTTGACCATACATACCAAAATTACGGTCACATTGACAGTATGAGTGGCCCCTGACCGGGTACAAATGATGAATCGGAACTTGCAATTTTTGTGACAGAAGCGATAAAAATATCATTATGTTATAATTTTTATTTTGGCCGCCGCAAGAATCAGAAAATAAAAAAATCTTGTTGTAATAGTTTGCCTCAAACTCTTTCATTATGACATGTAAAATTAAATTAAAAACAGTGTTCCCCCCTTTTTTTAAAAAACCTTCCATGAATGGAAACATATAACTATGACTAACTTCATTTTTTTCTACATGAACGTGAACATTGAATATATGCAGCCAAATTAGTCTTAAATAAAATTGTTCTGTGACTGGCAGTTTAGGAAGTGGAAGATTTTGTCCAAAGTCGAATTCAAGACACAAATTTTCTTTACAGGTTGATATCATTTCTTTTTTAGTGACATATGTTGAGCAATTTTATTTTTATGTTCTAAAAATTCAAAGTCATTTTCTTTTCCAAGCTTTTCACTTTCGTAACATTGATTACAATAGTCGGTTCTTGGAACATCAAAAGTAAAATTGACAAAATAATTAAAATACTTAGCATATGTCGACTCTGAAATTGGTGTACTTTCATTTTCTGTTTCTAACATATAAAAGTCAATAAATTTCCTATATAAACTTTTGATAGTTAAGCTACTATCTGTAAAATAATTTAATTTCGTACTTTTGTAATGGGATGTTGAATGAGGCAGGCTTTTGCAGTGCTGATGAATTAGAAGTTTGAGTTCTTCTGTCAACTTATTGAATTTAAGTGACTTTCCTCTATTATCATTGAAACTTAAATCATTTATCAATTTTTCTTTTATTGTCCTCATTCTTCCTCTTTTTATGTTAATGACAGCTAACAAGAAAGATTCACAAACTTCAACTACATCGTTGCCTTGAAACATACTAGGAAAATAATAATTCCATTTTACAATTTTTCTAGAATTACTTTTTTTTCTTTGCTTAATTTTTTCTCCTTTATAAAAGAGCTTAATAAAATATTTTGAACTTTATAGTCTCCAAGTTTCCAAAATTGAATAAATAACTTCTCCTGATATCTGCTTTCAATTTTCAAGAAACATTTCCTCGAGCAACAAGAAGTGGGAGTTATAAATGTTTTTGCAGGAACAGATTCCCCAGTTAATAAGGAGATATATTCGTTTCCCTGAATTAAAAAAAAATAATAATAAAAAATTGAACTTATATTACAAGAGTCAAAATGAAACTATATATGTCACGCTTAATAACAATTAAAAAAAATTAAATTGAAGTTAAATTAATTTTAATTTTAAACTGCAGTAAATTAATATTAAATATTATTTTTATAGAAAACATTTTATTCTTAGAAAAATTCAAAATAGGAGTATTTCATGAATAACTATTACTATTTGAAATCAAAACTTTAAAAATCTATTTGTCAATAACAGAAAATTAAGCCATTGTAACAATGAATGAATCATTGAATAACTTTTGAGTAAGCTCATATTTACATGCAATTCGTAATTTTTATTAGTAAAAGCTACATATTTAATAGTATATAAGAAAAATTTAAGAATTTTCTTTAAATTACATACAGCAAAATTTAACTAACCTCATTTCGTAATTTTTTTGCAACATTGCGTTTCCAGCTATCCACACTTTTCCTTTTTTTTCGACCAAGAATCGTTTCTGCAGTACACATTTTTTATTTACAGATTTCAAATATATAAGAAAATATATTTTGCTAAAAACTGACTGTAGCCAAAATGTACAATAATAAAGAAACGAAAGAAAAAATAATTCTTTGTGAATTAAATGAAAAATGAACATCTGCTATTATAAACACAGAAATGTAAAAGACGTTTTCGCAAATAAAATTACTATACAACAAGAAGCAATAGTCCCCACTTTCAATTAATTACGAACTGTTTATTAGCTTGTCAATAAATTTAAAACGAATATAAACAATCAGAATTTAAAGTAAAAGATATTTGTCATTCACAACATTCACTGAATAAGACAATTGAATATATGTGAATTATATTAAAATGTTTAATTTACTCTGTATTATTCACACTTACTTCATTTGTTATTCTTTTATAAATATTTTATTATTAAATGTTTATATAATTGAGTTTCTCATGTTTATGAAAATTTAAAAGCGAAAAAAATTTTATGTAATACTACCTATGATAACAAAATCTGTTAAGAAAATTATATTTTACAAAATGCATTAAAGAATAAAATTATTATTAATTGTTAATTATAATATAAACAATTATATTTTATTATAATATAAACAATTTGCGTTAATTTTATTATTAACCACAATTAAATCTCTTATTTATTTTAAACACTCTCTTCCAATATCTGGAAGTGCTTAAAATATGACTCTTAGTGTGATAGCGCCGTTAAACAAATTGTTGTAAGAGCTACAATTTTTCATTAACAAAAATAATATTTTCTGAAAAACTTCTTTACACCCTTGTGAACAACTTTGTCACTGGAAGTTTTCAAAATTTGAATTTTCGTCACTGACTTTTATTTTTTAAAAATATTAAAACACAAATAATGACGCAGTCACTTTATATACAATAATTATTAATAATTTACAGTTTTTTTTTGCAATTTTGATTAGTTCATTGGATTCAGGAAGGTTTTTTGGTAAGGTAAGTGAAATTTAAAATTTTTAAGTTGAACTGATAACGAAATATCACGAGTTTTTTGTGAAAACTTAATTATTTTTGAGAGTAGCAAAATTTTAGTTTTTATTTTTTATCTATGAAAATATAAGTCAGGTAAAAAATTTTTATTAACAAAAAAGGTGTATCTATAGTTCCTTTATTGAAAACTATTTTTATTTATTTTTTTTTTTTAATTTTTCATTTCAGATAATTTTTTCGTCGATTTATCTTGTGAAAAAAGAGACAGAAGATGTGGTCGAGCGCACTTGCTGTTATTGCACGCGCGGGCTCAATTTAACTTATAAAATTATCATAAAAAATATTTTAATAATAAATAATTTATAAATATTGATATTTTATATTGTTTAGTGCACACGGTAATAAAGAAAGTGAATATTGTATCAAGATTGACCGAGTCTTTAATCGAGCATGGGACGAACATTGGTGTCCCATGCTGAACAAATATTGAGTGACGCGCCGTATATACAGAATATACGACGCTGGCATTGAAATAGTAGATTAGGCGAGGTGCCTTCCAGCCTTCTGTGGCCGAGCGGTTTAAATGCGTGCGTTGAATACTTCCGGTATGCGTTAGGGGGGTGGGAGTCGTGAGTTCGATCCCACATACGAGCGAATATTTTTCATTCTTTGTTTTAAGCGTTATATAAAATAATAAAATTGTGTGTTGTGTTGTGAATAAAAACTTGTGAACATGTTTGTAAATAATGTTAAAAAGTCTGCTAAAAAATCGAGAAAAAAATGTATCGATTAACAGAAAAATTGTATTTTTTTACTAAAATTTTTTTTTTAATATTACTATTTCAAATGACATTTATTGTTAGTAATATATTATTTATATGAAAATAATATAATTATTATAATAGTAACTTATTTCCAAACAAACGCATATAACATGAATAAAAATAATATCAATAATATTCATTACTATAATAATAATAATTATTATTATTATTATTAATATTATTATTATATACAATTCATATATCCATATTATATTGAATGAGCGCGAGAGACGCGTAAATTTGGGAGCAGTGGAAGCAGCCTTGTTTCAGTCCTGCATTATAGGGTTCCGCAGCATTGATTGAACATTGAACGCCAATCTACAACAAAGACTGGAGCGTCAGTCTTAAATAAGTGTTACATTATAGCTAGAAGCAACCTTCGTTCCGCCGTCTCACCAAGGCTTGATCAATGTTGACCAAGCCTCAACGAAGGTTCCGTAAAGCCTGAATCCAGCGTCAGTTCTCGCCTGGGGTAGGTCGTTCGGTATCTCAGAAATTGACCATTATAAATTAATAAACTTTGCATTTATTCCTGTCCCAAGAACTATGTCTTATAATAAGTTGTTAAAAGTAAACTGCTTTCTCGTAAGTGCTGTAAATTTTCATCATTCATTATATAAGGAAACAAAGATGTATACTTTCAGTGAAATTCGTTGTCGTGCGTGCAGTTGTGTATTAGTGTATTAATTAACCGCGTCTATACATATAAGTGAAATAAACATGTGTGTGTCTTCAAATATTTATCCAACAAATATATAAGTGTGTGTGTGTCTGTGTATGTAAAAATTCTTCCAGTTTACCTCCATTAGTCAAGAATTGACGGGAAACCGGCGACGAAAATCCGTATTTTTTCTTTCACTCTTTCTTTCTGCATTTACAAACGACTGTAGTAATTTTACGTACACAATGCATCTGAGTTTACTACAGTTATTTGGAACTATTGGACGAAATAGTAAGAAACTTTGCTAATTTGGTGAACATTTGTCGGGATTAGTGACTTAGTGTAGAAAATAGTAAAAAATACAAAAAGTCCCCTTATTTCCGGTGGTTGCAATGTGAAAATAGTAAATTCTAGTGTGATTTTATACAAAAATTAGTAATTTCGGTCTCTCTGTGTATATTTCATTGTTGCACTCTTAACTTTCTTTTTTTTTGTTTATATTCTGCATTAATTAAATATGAATGCAAATCCTTCTTGCTTGTTCTAACGTATGTGACCTCATTTTACTTCGTATTTGATGCGTAATCGTTATCACTCTTTTATTACATTCGTTGAAATTTTACCGTTCTTTCTTGAATTTGTTATAAATCATTTGAAATATAAAGAGAATATACAATTTTAGAAAATACATAAGAAATATATGGTTGAATATAATACAATAGTAGAAGATATGTGAAAAATGTATTAATAATTAAAAGATAAAGACGGTAGAATGTGATACATAATCGTCCCTTAAATATATTATGTAAATGACCGTAGATATAGTTTAAAAAATTTCGAATAAATATAAATAAATTCGACTCTGTTGTGTCTATTAGAAAAATCAAAGTTACTTCATTATTTTGTTATTTCTACATTTTCTTGAAATGCCTTTGATAAAAATGTTGGATCCTGAAAGACAGCAACCCGCTATACGTCAACGTGTATGTCAGTCAATGTCACTTCTCACGTTTATTACTGTCAAAATGAGTGGTCAGCCCTCGCAACCTTTTTATTCCTTTTTTATTCATAATGCTATTAGTGTCCATATTTTTAAAACGACTTGTCCTAGATTATTACGGTCAGTATATTTACGTGCTGACAACACCATTAACATCAGTTTCATTCCAAATTGATTGCGGTGAAAGAATTGTCACTTTATATCTACAATTTATCTCTATAAATAAAAAGATGAAAGAATGGCTGATGGAATATGTCTCTGATACAATTTGTTCACTTCTAAATTCAAAATTATAAATTCAATATGATAATTTATTGAAAGACATAATATGTGGGGGAAATTTAAAGAAGTTGACAGATAACTTGATAGCAGTTATCATTAACACGGAATCTGAAAAATGAACTTGGTATTGATTTAACGTCTATAGATGTCTTTAAGAAACCGATGTCAGGGAGTCTTTTATAGAACTTATTTTAAAGATAATATGTCAGGTTGACTTATCAAGATACGAGGGTTGTGTTTAATTTATTTTATTTCAATCAATTATTTCTGAATTGTATTTTCTTCGGTGTCTTTTTTCTGCGTAGGGACTTTTGAGAAATCTATTTACAGATACCTAGGATTTTGCACTTTAAGGTTATTTAAATTTAAAGTCTTTAAAAATGTCATTTTGAGAAAAATGCATTTAAAGTTTCAACTTACTTTTTTATCCAGAAGAGGCACTCGATGTTTCGTGTTTGACGTTCACAGTTAAAATGACATTTCTTATCCACGAAATTTTTGAAAATCTGTAGAGATATTAAAACAGGTAACGAAACCTAAAATACCGAAGAGAAGTGTAAAAAAGAAAAGCCCTCTAAAGCACCAACTCTACTTACAGTTGCTTAACCTAAAAGATCGCGAGCCAAAAAAATCTCCACCAAATCTTTATTAACAGACTGCGTAGAATATATAATCGAGAGAAATTTGAGACAGTGAAAATTAAGCAGTTAGTAATGTTAGGGCTGTTAATGTCGTGCATGAGCTTATTACTTAGCATGTTACTGTCAAAATGAGTGATTGATGTTCCACTTATCCCCAGTAGGTACTCAACAAACGCTGGTACAAACGTTACGTCGACCATACCTACCCTTCTGAAATACTCACGAACTGGCATTTGCCTTTTCTTCTTGCCGAAATTCTATAAACCCAATTTATCCCAAAGTGTTGCATCAATCCGTGCAACCACCCAAGGGATTTACATTTGGGACTGGGGTGAAGACTCAGAGTCGAGTGAAATACAAATATAAGGGAGAGTGAATTATCAGATACATTTTATGGCTCTTGTCCAATTCCTGACAAACAAAATCGGGGAATCAATTTTATTGCCCCTCGTGGATAAAAAGTTGGCTTATTTCGAAATTTCAATTTAGAATCACCAGAATTTTTTTCCGGAAATATAAATCATTATATTTATTGGTTTTTAAAATCTTTAAAGAAGTGCATATTTTAAAGATCCTATGGTGTGTTCGTCACCTAACAAAAGTTTCGATCCAGATTGTAATTTATCACGATTATTTTTTGATACAAATTATTTTATTAACGATCTTATGCAGATGTTGGGAAAAAATATTACTATAAATGTTCTAAAATCAAACGCACTCATACATCATGAATTGCTTTTAAATTATTTTCTTTTTTGGCACTCGAG